GCCCTTTAACAAACTTTTAGTTGTATTGTGCAGAATTGTTTACTATATGCAAAATATTATACAGCAAATCCTTACAAATTTTTCATCTTGTGTGACTGAAACTATAGCTGCTGAACAGCAACTGTTTGTTTCCCCTATCTCCAGCTGCTTCTGCTTTCTTATTCTGGGTTTAACTACTTTAGTTAATTCATAGGAGTGAAATTATGCAGTTCTTCTTTGACTGGCTTTTTTTTTTTTTTCCACTTAACATAATGACTTCACTTTCTCAGTGTTATCACATGTGATAGTATTTCCTTCTTTGTAACAATGAAAAATATTCTATTTATTTATTTATTTTTAGAGGTTTTTGCCTTCGGCATACGCTCATCGGACACACACACACACACACACACACACACACACACACACACACACACATACACACACACACACACACACACACACACACAGAGTGAGAGGGAAAGTGAGAAATCACCCCCCTCCAGGAGGTAGCTACACCATAATCCCTTCTCCTCCGTTCTTCTCCTGAGATCTTGGGCACACATGCACATGTGCCAAGTGTGATTTTCAAGCCACCAATTCTGGGACTCAGACCGCGGTCGGCTATGAGTTCAGTGATGTAACCAGTTTGCCCTCTGCTGACCCTCTTTTATTTATCCATCCAGTTTCTGGATAAACTTATGTATTTTATTTATCCAGTTCATATGTTGATTGACATTTAGTTGTTTCTTCTCTTGCCTACTATGAATAATGCTGCAATGAACACGAGTATGCCATAACTTTATGAGATCCTATATTTAGTGTTTTGTATACATACCCAGGAGTGGGACTGCTGGATTACATGTGAATCTATTTTTAATTTTTGGAAGAATCTCTACTCTTTTCCATAATTACTACACCATTTTGCATTTGCACTGACAGTATACAAGAATTCTAATTTTCTTATGTCCTTGCCAATACTTGTTCTCTTTTGTTTTTTTGCTAATAGACAATCTAACAGGAGTGAAGTGACATCTCATTGGAGTTTTGATTTGCATTTCTCTGGTGATTGGTGATGTTCAGTATCAGTTCATGCCTTTATTGCCCATTTGTTTCTTTTCTTGAGAGAAATGTCTATTCAACTTCTTTATACCTTTTAAAATTACATTATTTGCTTTTTTGTTATTAAGTTGTAGGAGTTTGTGATATATTATAACTATTAACCCTTTATCAGGCATATGGTTCACAAATATTTCTCCCCCTTCTATAGCTTGCCATTTCACTCCATTGATTATGTCCTTTGCTAAACAGGAACTTTTTAGTTTGATGTGATCCCATTTGTCTGTTTTTGCTTTTGTTGTCTGTGGTTTTGGTGTCATACCTAAGAAATCATAGCCAAAATCAATGTTTTGGAGGTTTTCTTCTGTTTTATTTAAGTAGTTTTATTTTAGGTCGTATATTTGCGTCTTTAATCCATTTCAGGTTAATTTTGGTGTATTGTGTAAAATAAGCATCCAATTTCATTCTGTCACATGTATTAATAGATATTCAATTTTCTCAACACAATTTTTGTTAAATTATTCTTACTCCCATTGTGTAGTCTTGGCACACTTGTCAAAGATCATTTAATAATGTATGCATGGGTTTACTTTCAAGCTATTTATTCTCTCTTATTGATCTAAATTTCTACCTTTATATTTTTCAGTATCATATTGTTTTGATTACTGTGGCTCTGTAATATATTTTGAGGTCAGGAAGTGTGAGGCCTCCAGTATTTTCTTCTCAAGGTGTTTTGGCTATTCTGGATCCTTTGTAGCTCTATGTGCATTTTAAGTTTATTTTTCCTACTTCTGTGAAAAGTCCTGTTGAGATTTTGATAGAGATTGCATTGACTCTGTAGATTCACATAGGGTAGAATGAACGTTTTAGCAATCCATGATCACAGGATGTTTTTTCAAAATTGTGTTTTCTTTCACTTTTTCCCAATAACGTTTTGCAGTTTTTAGTGTGCAAATGTTTTTTCTCTTTGGCTGTGTTTATTCCTAAGTATTTAATTGTTTTTGATGCTATTGTGAATGATACTGTTTTCTTCGTTTTCTTTCTGGAATATTCATTGTGAGTATATAGAAATACAACCTTTTTTGAGTATTGATTTTTGGTTTTGTTTATTCATTTATTTTAGTTTTTGTTCATATCCAGAGGTCACATGCAGTTGCCAGAGAGAGACAAAGAGACAATGAGAGAAAGAGAGAGAGAGATTCAGAGGAAAAGAGTACCCATAGTGGAGTGTGGTCATGTTATAATCCCTTCTCTTCCAATTTTACATTCTGTTGGATTTGGGATGTACATACACATGTACTCAGCATATTTTTCAAGGCACTGAGTTGAACTGTAGCTGGCCATGTTCAACTGACTCCCTTAAACACCAGGCCATGGAGCTGGCCCCTGGTGTTAGTTTTCTATCTTGTAACTTTGCTGAATTTATTTCTTCTTATAGTTGCTATTATTGTTATCAACTCTTTTAAGGTCTCTACATACAAGAGTATGTCATCAACAAACAGATTATTTGCCTCTGCCTTTCTCAATTGGATGCCTTGTATTTATTTTTCTTGCTTAATTGCTCTATGACTTCCTATATAATGCTGGGTAAAAATGGCTAGAATAGCCATCTTTGCCTTCTTTATGAACTTAGAGGGAAATCTTGCAGTTATTCATCATAGTATCATATTTTCTATGGACTTTATGTATATGGCTTCTACAATGTTAAGGTAATTTACTTCTGGTTTTTTTTTTTGATAGAGGTTTTTGCTATAAGGTGTGTGCGCTCGCCAGACAGACAGAGAGAGACAGAGAGACAGAAAGCAGAAAATCACCCCCCAGGGGGGATGGCCATGCCGCAGTCCCTTCTCCTCCATTCTCCTCTCGGGATCTTGGGCACACATGCACACGTGCCTAGCATGAGTTTAAGCCACCGGATCTGAGAATCAAACTGCGGTCGACTACATGGGAGTCCAGCAACATAGCCATTACGCTAACTGCTGGTCCCATGGTAATTTACTTCTATACCTAATTTGCTGGCTATTTTATTATGAAAAGATACTGAATTTTGTCAAGTAATTTTTCTGCATTTATTGAGATGATCATGTCATTTTCATTCTTTGTTCTGTTAATATGGCGTATCACATTGAATGGTTGTTGTGTATTGAACCACTCTTATGTCCCAAGGATAAATCCTACTTTGTCATGACATATAATCATTTTAATATGTTGTTGAATTTTGTTTGCTATTAATTTGTTGAAAAGTTTTGTAT